AAAAAACATGAAAATGAGAATAACGTATGTTTCGAACTTACTTTTCTCGCGCTTACTTTCGGCCGTTACTCCCCTCGCTGATGGATGGTACGGCTGGTATCTGAACAGCAAGTTTCTGGGTCCCTGTGATTTATACAACCGCTGATTGAGCGCGATGAACTGCATGGAGAAGCCGAAAATGAAGATCGCCATTACCACGAGAAACCTTGTAAGATCCTTCATAAGATTACCGATGATGATGGCCCACGGCCCGAAGAGATGATGAAATGACAGGAAATCCATGATTTGCACGCAAGCTAAAAGGAAACTGAAAGCAAAAAGCTGGTTTCTCAGATAAATACAAATTTTCCAGTACGGTCTATCGACGATTAATCCTGACAGGTGAATCGCGACACCGAATATGCCAAAGAATAGCACTGCCAGTTTGATCCAACCGAGGCCGCTCTTGTCGCTGGGATTCATTAGTTCGAAGAGCAAAAATCCCGACAGCATTACCAGCAGGCATACCTCGTACCAGTATGGTATCAAGCTGTTTCTCTGCACTGAATTCGGCGTGATGCCGACCAGCAACAGGAAGACCATCAGGTAGATATGCGACGTGAAATACGTAATGAACTTGATGATAGGCACGTTATTGTACTTGTGCCCGAGCGGAAGAGCGAACATCATCCAGACCGGCGGACAAACGATGAAGACAATGAACAGCAGGATCGTCTTAAACATATTCCAATTCACGCTACCCTGCCACAGCTCTTTTAGGTAGCGCTGCACCACGGTGTGCGCGATTATGTCCTTCTGTTCGTTCTCAATCAATACGTCAAGGAACTGAACATTCCTGTGATCTATTGACGTCAAGATTTTATCGGCCGAATCGATGCCCGCTGCCAGAGTCAGCAACTCGATGGCCATTGCTTCGCACAGTTTTCCTGCCGTAATTAAATCTTTCGCGCGCTCTGTTTCTTTTTCGGAAAGCTTCATGTAGATGTTGGATAGTTTTGCCGCAGTATCGACCGGCGCAGGTGACATCAGAATGAATTCCTCGATTAGTTTGTTGTCATGGCTTTTGCTGCAGACCATCATGTTGTAGACGAACTGTAAACGCAATAATTTGCTCAAAAATTAGAACTGA